CCCGGGTGCCCCGGTGCCCCGGGACGGGACGGGGGCGAGCGGCGGCCCCGGCCGGGCGAGCAGGGGGCGGAGGGGAAACGGCAGCGAAGCAGCCCCGAGAGCCCCGCAGCCACGGGCAGGGCTCGCCCTTGCACCGCTCCGGCCCCGTTTAAAAGAAGGGGTTTCAGCTCAGGGGGCGGCCGGGGAGCTTTCCCACCTGCGCAGGGGAGCGCAGAGCCGGGGAGGGGTCGTGGCAGGGAGAAGGATCAAAGCTGTTCTGAACACTTGTGCTGAACAGCCCTTATTGCCAGCCCCAAAACGCAGGGGAGCAGCGGTGCCCTCCCACCCTACAGGCAGCCCGGGGCAGGGTGTCCAGCAGAGGCTGCCATGGGAGCAGGGCTGGCGTTCCCGCAGCCCTTCGTGCACAACGGAAAGTCGGCTCCCGTTCAGGTAGCGAAAGGGAAGCAGAGCCCCGTGTGACACCGCAAGCGAGGGGAAGCTGAGCGCGAGTGTTGGATTTCACCGCAGCGAGGCGCAGAGCGGCGGCGGGGGCAGCGCGTCGTCCTCCTGCCTCGATCCAAGACACGAAYCCTGCAGAGGCCGGTAACTCCGTGGGACGCGGGGAGGCCGAGGGGGCTGCACGGCCAGCGCTGTCCTGAGCGGCCCCCAGCAGAACCCTCACAAAGTGCCTGCTGGTGCACAGCGTGCTAAAGACACAAGAAAAAGATAAGGCGCCCATCACCTTTATTAGGTGGTCTGACCTTTTGGTTGAAAAACACGCTCAAATTGTGCAAAACACCTTACCCAACATTAGGTCAATGCTAAAAACAGCTCAAATGCTTCAACAGGCTGTCACATTGTGCCTGTCTTTCACACAGTGCCCAAAAAGTCCCTGCAAACACCTGATCTCATTATAAGCTTTTGTYGGAAGAACAAATAGCTGCCGCCTGGGAAAGGGCTGTTTTACCCACCTCACRGTGCCAGCTGTCCCGTTTCAACACCAGCCCCAGTATTTCCTGGTTGGGAACTAATTGGGAACTTCCTATAAACATTATTCATATCTCTTTACATGGTAAGAGCCTCAGAGGAAAAACAATAAACTAGCCAAAAATGGACTCTTGGCTGTGTCATGCACTATAAATATTTCTGAGCCATCATAAAAAAAAAGGTAAGAAAAATAGTTCCTATGTCGTAACAATTACACATTTTAGATTCTAAAAGAACAAACTAGTGTTTAAGCTAAGTTCTCAACTATAAAAAGTGTTATTTATCTTGGCATAATTGTAAGGTTTATTTCAAGATGTAAAACATTCCAGCATAGTCGCATCTTTCTGGTGCTCGTGAATCTTTCAAACAAAACATACGTTAGGTAACTTTCCATGGTAGCTGGTGGGTTGATAGTCTTCAGTCCTCAAATTGATTCTATAACGGAAACATCTCCATTCACTGCAGAAAAGAAAGGTCTGTATTAAGAGATGGGAAGAGTTCCTCTAAAAATATCTTACACRATCACATATACACAGATATATATATATTATTCTATTGTATAGATTTTCATATGCAAGCAGAAGAAAATAAATTGGTAAAAGCCATAAGGAAGAGAGGAGAGGTGAGCAGAGCACTTCACGAAGGGACAAGCGTCTCAGGGACTCCACTCAAGTGTTCTGCAATAAAATCATTCCTGTTTGCTTTGCAGAAAGGAGTGATCTTATTGCTGAAAGCTACTGAATCAGGATGCATGACAGGGCACACACTATGCTGTCTACGAGCAAATATACCCCTTTTCTCCTTCCTTTTCTCCTTTGTTTGGCTTTTCAGCTCTCCCCTGCCCAGTCTGTGTTTCTAAAGAAAAAAGGACTGACTGCTGAAAAAGGCCAAATTAGGAAATTAACCTCATGCTTAGTGCACCTCCATCAAAAGCAATCAAAGCAATCAAGAGACATCAACCCAATCACTTCCCTAATGCACAAACATGTTAGTTATTTCTGGACCTGCTCTGGGTTTTGCAAAAACTCCTTTTAATTTAACTAATCACRGTGATCTAGTGCCTTTTATTAAAAAAAAAATAGAAAATAAGAATTATGCAGCAGCCAGTGACTTGCGCATTCACTTAATCTTGTCATGGATCCACAGTGCATTGTGAGTACGTTTGTTTCATCAGTTCTCTCTCACTTGAAGTAAATGAGATTATTCCTGTAGGCTAAGCATGTGCTTACTGCTCTGCTGCATCAGCATGGTGCTCAGCACTTTCAGGGATTTGCTCCTGAAACTTTATAACAGCAGTAGCTTTGGGATGCAAGTCACAGGGCTGGGTTTGCTCTATAAATCTCCATTTTGTGCTTGGTTTAAGGCTCATCTTTGTATAGAGATTAGGCATCCCTACACAGCAATAGCACAGCAGTGTAAGGTAAAGCATTGGGGCTGCTCTGCACCAACGCTGCGCGAGAACCCTGTCAGTGGGAGGCAAACAGGGCAAAGGCTCTTTGAAGGAGAAGTGTATCCAGGCTTGCTGCAAAGGGTACCTGCAGAAACTAGAGAACACGAGGGTGCTCTAAAGCCTCGCTGCTCCCCACGGGGCACAAAGGGTTTAACTGCACTGCAGTGAAACAAGGACAGTAGAATTTGAATAGAGAGGCAGTGCTGAGCACCAGCTCCCCACTGGACGAAGCTGTTTTGTTTAAAAGCATCCCTGGTGCTCCCGTGAGGAATCACTGGGAACATGCAGGGCTCCAGAGCTTGGTGCTCCAGCTTGCTGTGTGCTCTCTTCCCCACAGAGGCAAGCCTCTGGCCTGGGCCGGCCAGCACTGCATCTCTCTCCTGCCTATTTTCCTTCCATTGTTACTAATTCTTGTCAAATCCCATGTGRTTTTGACATTTTAACCATATCTGGTTACTCTTTTGTCCACAGACCCAGACAACATGGTGCCTACTGCAGGCATCCACATTGTCACGGGAATGCGCAACTCACACTAATACAACCAATAACCAGACAATGAGAAATTCCCTTTTTTTTCTCTCTCCCCCAAATCTGCTACAGGCAAGGCAGCTTTTCTCTTCTGGACCAGTTCTATTCAATACCTTCTACTTTTGGAGCTCGGAGCCCAGAAACAATATACTTAAATAGCCACTAGCCATGGCATTGAAAAACACTTCTCAATCCCTTACTGAACAACGTTCATATCCTTGATCCTGTTATCTGTAACACACAGAAGGGCTCCAGCTACAATGAACTATGTGCAGGTACAAGAAAGACTGCAAGAWCAGGAGCGGAGCTGCACAATGCAGCAGCCCACGCTTTTTCTGGGCAGTGAGCATGAGGAATAAGCTTGAGAACAGTGTTGTTATTGAACTAAAGGAAGCACTGGCTGCTTTAATGCCTGTTTGCTGCCACAGTTACCTTGCAGGCGTTTTATTGGAAATGTATTCAGAGCAGTGCACTTAAAATCTTGCACTAGGCCCATCTCGGAAGTGCACACACTTGCATTAATATTGCAGGCGTATTTCTAAACAGGGAAAMAAAACCAAGGGAGACAAAAAAAATCCTCATACTCACTCAAGATCACAGGGAAAAGAATGGGAGTTTAGCCTCGCTTTCTTCTGCAGCTGGCAACGGTGATCTGCAAAGAGCCTCTGCGAGCTCTGCTGTCTATATTGTAATGCAAAAACACTACATGGAAATCGGAGAACTTAAAACAGATAAGAGAAAGCTGCTAGACTCAAACTGGAGAACAGCAAAGACACTTTTTAATCCTCTTTTCTCTTCCCTCCTCCAAAAAGGGAGCAGAATCCCACAGGTACAAATTCTTACTGATCAAATACTGAAGGTTATACTTAAGCTATACTGTTTTTAAAGCCCAGTTTAGCCGCCCCCCAGGTAAAGCCAGTGTTAGGCACAGTTGGTTGGCCTGCATAGATTAAATAAAACACGCTTGACAAGTCTATGCCCAGAAGTGCTCTGAGAGCAGATCAAAGACCTACAGATGTGGTTCAGAAGCTGCCCCCACCAGTAAATACGAGCAGCTTTATTTTCTACCCACTGAAGCAGTCTTTCTAAATGAGAAGCCAACTTAAAAAATGCAGTATCAGATTAAAAAGCTCTCTACTAAAGGAGAGCAGGTTTAGTTAAGTTGTGATACGTCAGCGAGAAGGCAGGAGCCAGGCATCTGCTGGGGCAGCACAAGRGCCGCAAGCAGTCACTGCTTTGTAGAAGGGTTTTTAGGAACCCACTTGACAAGACTGTGCTGCTGCTGCCGCCTGTTACACTGAATGAAACCCTGCAGATGAACTCCCAAACCAAATACTGTTTCAGTTCGCGCAAACACTGGCACACAACCTTTGTACTCTGTGAGTCTGTCCCCACACAATTAAGATTGTCTGATTCTGAACACTATGAAAATTATTTTTGCCTATTATTTACATCAATATTGTTCAGGCCAAGTTCATCTAAGGATGTAAGGGGGTGCAGCGTTTGAAGGGGGAGATAATACCTTTCAGCGGAAAGCAGGGCTGAGGTTTCAGCACATACTCTTTTCACTAAGAGTCTGCTTTAAAACCRAAAGTCCCCGACACTCTCACTTTGTGACATAATCACTGCACATATACTCATCTCTAGTGACAAGTGGTGCAATCCCTTATCATAAATCCTGGTGGTAATTCTTCAAGATATTCATGAGAACAAATAAATGCCCCACTCCAGCTACTTTTATTGCCTGTATTCTGAGGACAGCAACCTCTCTGACAGGGTTCAAGCTTACAAAACACGCTGCCATGACAGCTACATGCAGGTTATTTGCTTTGCCCATTCACTATGTTCTCTGGCCCCGCAATGAGAGCACTGTAACTATTAACCGGCAAAAGCCTTAAGTTATTTATGCTGAGAGTCCAATTAATACTCAAAATCAAAATTACTGTATACATCACTCTTGCATTTTCTATAGTGTCTTCCTCTCCAGAAATATGCCTGGTATGATAAACCAGTTCTGAACACAAGTCATACTTGTGTTCACTTTTTTTTCCAGAACTCCTACAGATTGCTCCAAAATGACTTCTTCCTTCCATCTGTTTAGACACATGCAAATGTCAAATCTGGTCATGACCTTGAGGAGTCACAAAAAATCCAATAAAAACGTCTCACATATTCCAGGCTAAGGCATGCAGGAATTTTTTCTCTTCAGCAAAGCGCAAGGAGGATCTTGTTTATAGTGTCACAGCACAGGTCAAGCAGAAAGGAAAGACATTTGCAATGACTCTTCCCAGCTACCTAAATCTAGTCATCGAGCAATAAATACCGTATTAAGGCTGCTGCTGTTTGGACTGCGACGAGGGCTTGTGCGGAGGAGAGAGCTAAGCTCCAGATCAGCAACCATCTGTCGGGACTCAGCCAGCAAATGCTGCAGCTTATTTGTGCCGGAACAGGCCTCCTAGGCGAGACAAAGTCAGCCAAAGTTATTGATCTTTTTGGGAAAATTCTAAGGGTTATAACAAACTAAGAAGCAGCACCATCATTCTGGAATGTTTTATTTCAAAACAGTTCGATGCAACTGCTCCAGAGGCCRTCATCACCTGCCTAGAGGGTGACACTTCTGCTAAGTCCTTCCTAGTTCCAGCTTCCTCATAGATACTCAATAGATGCATGTGTGCTTAGCACCACAACTGAAAGCACTGAGGAGACAAGACTAGTGTTTTAAATGGCTGAAAAAAGYAGCAAGCTGATTAACAGCTCAAAGAAGAGAATTTATCTTGGCAGCTGAGAGAGGAAGGGCAGTTGGTGACAGCTCCAAATGTCACATTGGCCTCTTCCTCCAAGTCCATTCTTGTATATGTAACCAGCAGAGCTGTAAGCTTGGGCAGACACACCACAAAACTCTCCACCCCACCAAAAAGTAAGCAAAAAAAGAAAATAAAAAATGATATTCCCAGATATCCATTCAACCAGGGTACTGAACTGCACTCCTGGCCAAACTGCAGCCCAATGTCCATACAAGACATACAGAACACGCACAGCTACACAGCCAGCCAACCAAACTACAATTTGAGTCCCTACTTCTTGCATGACAACAGACATTCACTTTCCTTCCACCCATTGCAAATCTCCCTAAAATTAATGCAACATATTCTGCAATAAAACACTAACTTGGTCAACAGTAGGATGGCAGCATTTGTTGCTTGGCTGAATTRCTGAGAGGTTCCCCATCTCCGGAGGGAAGTCTGCATCACAGACTCCGTTTTGAGTGGATGTCAAACAGGGAGAATCCAAGTGAAAAGAATGCAGCTCTGCATTTCCTTCACTGTTAATAAAATTAAAACATTGTCAGAAACGGTATCATCATTCTTTCTAATCTTTCAAAGAAGAATCATAGGACAACATACTCATGGGCCCTGGTCCAATAGTCAAGCATGTGAAGTTACTCTGTTCCTTAGTTATTCCCATGTTCCTTAGTTATTCCCAGCTTCATAGCAGTTTCAATCTCTGAAGAACACTGAAGCTATTTCAAGAACACCTCTATTACCACATACTTTAAAAACTATTGAACTTTACAAAGAGTAAACACAAAAGGCAATACTTAGTTCCTCCTTATACTCTATTAATACTCCACTACTCTTTCTTCTTTCACTTTTTTTTTTTTTTTTTTTAAATTAAGCATTTAGCAAACTCAGTATTTGTAGATGTACATTTAAAGAGAATCTTACAGACTTTTAAAGTCATTATCTCACTTTGGAGATCACAGGACAGTCTTCCCCAAGAATCTATTTATTTATTTGTTATCCATAAACAAACAGTACATTTGAAGTGCAGTTTTGGTAAGCTGTCATTAAAACCAAAACTCAGTTGCTTAACTACTGTAACTTAATAATTCAGCACAGAGTTGAAACTTAAACCCTACTGGCATGCATTTTCCCCAAAGCACAAAGACATATTAGCCTAGCACCAAATACATTTTAGTGTATTTAGGAGTATCTGAAATAAAATAAAATAAAATAAAATAAAATAAAATAAAATAAAATAAAATAAAATAAAATAAAATAAAATAAAAATTTTATTTTTAGGGCCTTAAGGACCAGGTGGAATAGGCCAGTATGAGCACACAGACCAAATAACTCTGCTGAGGCTCCAAATTTAAAAGGAGAATCTGCATTAGCATCCAGAGCCAATTCCAATTGAAGTGAAGTCAGAGCACAAAGAAATGATTCCTGTATTTCACAATCCCACTTGCAGTCAGATAAGGTATTTCACTAAGAGCCTTCTTGTGAGCTGTTCCAGAATTCAAGAACTCATGTCAAAAATATTTGCTGGGTTGACAGGGAGGTGCCAGCACCCTCCCCTACATATGAAATACATCATCAGCACTAGGAAGCCAGCAATGGAAAACTGGAGGATCCACATTCAAGTCCTAGGAGGAATGTCACGCTGCCATTAAGGACTGAACAATATGTCCACGCTGATGACTGYGATACTAAATTTTCCTCCCATTTAAGGGGAGAGGATGTGTTCGGTGGCAGATGAGACAGTCAGCAGACAGTTGAAGGGCTCTCTCCAAGCAGCAGAGCACTGAGGAACAAATGTGGATATTGAGAAAACCTGCTGGGGCAGGCAGATAAGATCAGGGCAGACCTAAGGGGAAAGGATAGAGCCTTTCTTACTGATCTAACAACCRAAACCAGTCACAGTCCACACACAAGGAGAAGCTCAGCTAAGGCGTGTGGACATGTGCCAACACAGCACCTCTTTTTTCACTGGCTGCCCATTGACATTTTTTTGGAATATATCTGTCTCTCTGCACTAACAATTTCTTTAATTTCTTTTTTTTCTTCATTGTTTCAAAAACAATACATAACAAAACTCTTGGTACATCGGACACTTCCCTTCCATAACATTAAAATGTTTGAATGTTGGGCCAGGCTGTCTAGTAAAAATCTTAGCAGGTTTAAACAGCTGTTCATTTACAGTGAGCAAACTGCACCAGCTGAAGAACTAACCCCTTTCTCTCCTCCTGTCTAAATGGCAGCTATGAAATCCCTGTAAAACTTCAGAAATCCTTCTAAAATACAGTTGGTTATTTGTAAGTATTTTTTTTAAAGGAAAAACAGAAAATGAACCATTATGATAAATGCACAGAAGCAGTCACAGCTTTGAATGTCCTTGCTTGTTGCAGGCTTACAAATAGCTTCTATAAATGTGAAGTGGCATTTATAACCCAGAGACGTCTGAAAAACCCTGAGATGTGAGTGTTTATTATGACTCTTTCCAGCATTAGAAACTCATGCTGCTCATYTCCAACTACATGTTCATCATTTTTAAAATCTGTACTTTTCCTCCTTCATGAGTTTATTTGGCAACTTATGCAGTAGTGCAGCTTTTCCTACCCCGACAGCTTTTGTGGGTAAGAGATGTAAAAAACAAATACATAACATTAATGATACCTTAAAGGTGCTTAAGTTATTTTAAATGTACTGCTTTTCAATTTGTTAATCTAATTTTAAAACAGAAGTTACTTTCGTCATCACTCAAGATAATGCAAATTATTTATAGCTTGTCTACCGACTTCCTACATAATTATAGCTTGTACCAATCTATTTCTTAAATGTAATGAGTACATAACCTTACGGGGCTGGCACACTTTTTCTCTTCTGCAATCTTCAGACAGTTGCAAGGTTTTCTGTGCCATGTATTTCCACTTCCTTTTATGGGTTTGAAAATCTTCATCCATTCCAGATCTGATATGGGCTTCCACCATGCAGCTTTTTTTATGATGAAGTTATTACTACAGGAATCAGATTCAGGCTTGTGAACTATATTAAGCATCTCTCCGCTTTTTGAGCGGCATAAAATTCCATTTCTCTCTTCCCAGTTTTTATCATCGTTATCAGTTTTGTCAGATTTGATAGTGTCCTGGATGGAAGTACTTTGTGATTCTACACAAGAACTGAAGTTGGGCCAATGCTCACACACAGGTAAAGCCGACTCAACGGTTTGATGGTCTCCACTTTCCAAACCACTCTCGGAAATTTCCCAATTTCTCAAAGGCCATGTGCTGTTTGTACCACAAAATACTTGGCTGCCTGGCTCATYGGAGCTTGACGCAACATCCTGCTTTTCCTCTTCTTCCATGAAGACAGCCAAGCCTTTCACAACTTTTTGACACCGATTTAAGTGTGCTGAGGTAGCTTTCTCCAAGTCTGATGCATTCAGTAACAGTCTGTTCTCTTCTTCACACACCTCAGGGATGGTTTTAAGCCTACACTGCTGAGCCTGTGCAGTTCCACCTTCCTCGCATACGCTGCCCTCACTCCTAACAGGCTGTGCTTCACTGCTACTTTCAGGGGCAGGGAATGCCACACCTGTGCTACAAYGGCATGATAAAGAACCAGCACAAATATTACATTTAAAGAGCATATATAGCTGTGTTCAGCATAAGTCATACATTCAACACAAGCTGTAACTACAGTTTGGCAATAGTTCATATACCAGCAGACAGCTGTATCCTGCCAGAACCCTACAGAAGTCGCCCAGATTTGACTGTAGGTTACTTTGCAGGATCACTCTGAGAGTCCTTTTACATTTTATACAGTGTGGTAATTCTGTCTGAACCTCTAGGGCATGCACCAATTTCCTATTTTGAAAGCAACATAAACTTTGAATTTTAAACAAAAGAAGTAGCAGGCCAGACTAATGCCTTATGAGCAGACTAGGCATTTTTAAAAACAGCATGAACTCCCTGACTTGCATACAGTATTTTATGAGTGATATTCATGGTGACTTCTGTYCCCATAAAGCAGGTATCTGAGAATTGCATTGGATATTTGTGGTCCAGCCCAGGAAATTCTTGACACAGCACACATCTGTTTTAGAATGCTAACTGCACTTCAACAGTAAAAAGTCTGTCCTCAGAAAGTAAGCTAGTATAAGAAGTAGGTTACTTTACCGTATTTCATGTGTCTTCTTTTCATGCTTTTGCCTTAATTCCTGTGAACTCTCCAAATTGAAATGGAGAAATTGCAAGTCACGTTGCTGTTTTACATAAATCTGCTTAAAAATAGAGACAAACATTAATGACAGTGGACAGTACAAGCAAAAGGTTAAAACACACATTAATGACAGTGGACAGTACAAGAAAAAGGTTAAAACACATAATCACATCACTTTTAAATCCAAAAATATCCTCAAAATATTTTTTAGGCCAATATCTATAGTGAAACTTCAGCCAAATCTGGCCAAATCCAGAGGGTTATCTCAGCATGTATTTAGCAAAGCTTAGTACATTTTGCCATGATATGTGGGTAAGGACGATATAAGTTATTTCTATAATAAGATTGCTGTGGTCTTCTGAAATCGAACCACTTTGTACTATAAATACAAAACAAGTATCAAATAATGATAATATTTTGTTATTACGTTGTTTACACAAATTTCTAGAGGTAATACAAAAGCTAGCGTTGATCAACTATTAGGAGTTAAAAAGAAAAAAAAAAAGTTTGGGGGACCTCCAAAAATTACAAGCAAGAGCACAGCTTTTATGGCTCATTTGAAGCAGTTCTTGCAGCAGCCTGTGCCTCTCCAGGCTGCCTCAGTTCACCTTGGACATGTGTGTTGAGTTGGGCACTCACGTCCCCCCCYGCCTTTCATGTGACTTCTTGGAGCCTGGCACCTTCTGGTTATAAACATGCCCTGATGAACTGTTCATCTAGATAGGGCGCCCCACTTACAGCTGTGAGGGTGATATTTACTCATTGAAGTATTGAGCAAATAAAATTATAACTCTAAAGGTAAAAGCTAATGTAAATATAAGGATTTATATAATGGATTTTTAAATTTTAATAACAWCAACTACAAAAAAAAAGCATTCTATAGTGGTATCAGCAAGGCAGTAAAAGAAAATTGGATTTTTTTTTCTAATTAAAGAACAGCTACATCCAACTTTTTATACTGTTCTATACCGATCGAATGTTCCTGCAAAATTCCTTCATAATCTTATAACTAGGACTGTACCTGCCGCAAACTTGATAGTTCTGTATCAGTCCGTACTTGTTTAGATCTGGCAAACTGAAGAAGTTGCTCCTTTCTATTTGCTTTCTCAACTGTTTCAAAACACACACAGGTTTCAAATTACTTTACTTGAATAGGAACATGCCAAGTACGTTTGTACCTGTATCTATCAATAGTAACAGAAGCAAATAGATAAACAAAACAAAAACATTTTCTTAAGATTAACAGGATCTTTTTTCTCCTCTTCCAAATAATAAAAAGAGCATAATAATATCAAGAGACAACTAAGCAGAACAAGTATTTTCCTAGGAACTAGGATTTTAGTCGTGGCAATATTTCATCCCATTGACTGATTTATTTTTGATATTCTTTCATCAAAAAGGAAATAGAAAGGAAATGACAGCAATTAGTTCTATTTCATGTCTGTACCAGGAAGGGCTAGGGAATGCTTCCTATTATTATTATTATTTTTAACATAGTTATTCATGAGATCAATATTTGGCAAAAACAATGGGAAGGAAAAAAGGGGCCGGAATCTGTCTCACAGCATGGGATATCTTTGGTCATCTAATTTTTCAAGGCATATCACTTGCCTGTAAGAATGTTGCAGCAACAAGTGGCCTTTCTTACCCACTGAGGTACAATAAACACTTCTCTCTCTACTCAAAAACAAAGTGCAAATATCAACAGAGACCAAGTCACAGTTTTTCAAGTCTTGCCTATTAAAACAGTCTAAACCAAATATAACAGTTAGGGAAAAGCAACAGACAAAGTCAACTTGGAAAACATACTTCTTCTGTGGAAATGACTCCTTGCTGACCACAGGAGGGAGTGAATGAGGTGGTCATTTTACAGGGCCTAACTTGTTTTGTGTGTGGTTTCTTTTTGAGATCTAACTATTTTCTACGTAATTTGTGTCAGAAGAAGGCAAGTYACTCCTATTTATCATCTTAATACCACAGGAGACAAGACAGTCCCCAAAATTTCAGAGAGAGAATGCCCTGGGTAGTTTTACTGCTTCATGCTTTATCACATAAAGCACTAGTAAGATCTTGCTTTCACACAAGAATGACACATAAAGACACAAACCTTTATTAAAACTGCAATGCAGGTAGATAACAAGCTGTGTCCTTCCTAGACGTTAACGGAGAGCTGTCTACAAGTCTGCAACAGGCATGAAAGCCAAATGCCCACACTTACCAGTAAGTGCAAGCTCATTCTTCAGGTAGCCATTCTCTTGCTTGAGGTGCATGATTTCTTCCCGCTGGTCATTATTTTCCTTCATCTTTTCACAAAGGTCATCTTGAAAACAAAATATAATGCAGAATCAAATGGAAGCACACTGATTTATACGGAATTCAGTGGCTGGTATCACCATTTACCTTTCAGCTTATTTGTTTCRAGCAGTAGTTCTTTCAGTCTCAGTTTGAAGTCCTGCTTTTCTTTGTTGATACTGAATTCCTCTGACTTAGCAGCACGCAGTGCACTCTCCAACTGTTTGAATTTTGATGTAAATTCAGTGATGTGATCAGTTGCTTCAAGTATATCCTTGTCCTGAAATATGACATAAAAACACATTYTTCATTACTTTTTATCTTTGTGTCAAGGATCCTGACAAAACAAAATCACTGCAGTAGTTGTAGCTACTTTGCAGCTTTTATTCAGGCTCTAGGGAAAAGAAGAAAAATTAAAGGCAGGAAACAMGCATGTTTATGAAAGTAAAACAGTTTCCTGTCTGTTGACCACTTTTCCCTTCTTAAGTCTAAGAACAAAACATTCAAGTGACTGACAGTAACTGTGATGTAGTCACTAATAACTTGACTGCAATTTGACCATATTTAGTGCCTGATAAAGATAACAGATGCTACCTTYAACTTGAGCATAGTAAGAAGCTCCTGCTCCCTGGCCTGCAGCTGGCCTATTTTAGCAGACAGTTCCAACACTGAGCAGTTGAGATTTTGATTTTTCTCCTAGTGAAAAAAAAAAAAGTGTCAGTTACTACTACAGTAATTGAAAGACACTATCATTTTCATATCCTTAAACCAGTTACAAGATGTTACAATTCGCAACGGTAACCTAAGCTGTAAGCAAAACTTTCTGGACTTCCTAACCCAGCAGCAGTGATGTTTCAAGGGGCAACACTGCCTTTTACAGGCAGAATGCCTCACATGCTTGAAACAAGTCAGTGCTGAGCAGTGCCCTCCAAACTTTACAAATAAACCTCAAACTCCAAATATAAACTTGGGAAAGTTTTTTTTTTCTTTTTTAACAAAAATCAAAGCTATACCTTAATCTAGTGTTATAGCATTAGAAAACAAATCCAGYTCAGAAGTCTTAACCTGAAATATTTATAAATTGGTGTAACCCACAAATGTCACTGTCATTCATTCTGACATGGATGCAAAATTGGATTATCACTCCATCCTACCTCCAGCACCTGGCAGTGAAGAGTTGTGTCTGTTGCTTTTTGAGAGAGCTCTTTAAACTTCTGCTCTGTATGTTCAAGGGTTGTCTTACTGTCATTCTGCTGAGATTCTAAGAGCTTTACCCTTTTGGTTAGTGTTTTTATTATTTCATTTCTCTTATGCAGCTCATCTGGAAAAAAAAAAAAGTGAGGAATTATTGGTGAGTGCAGGTACAGCCTACACAATCTTTAAAACGACAGAAATTTTAATCTGTTGTTTTAAAATCATGTAATTCAGAAATGGATGCAAAGGATGCATTTGCTGAAGTAGGATTACATACCTGAGGTTATTTGCTCTCCTAGACTGCACATTCTCCTATTTCCATAGTTACCAGGTCAGGTGGATTATGAATTCTGTTCTGACCTATCTTTTGAGTACGGCTGTCAAAGACTATTCACAGCTTTGAGCTGGGGTCGCTTGTGGACAGTGCCAAAACTGCGTGGCAGAACCTCAAAGCAGAGACAGTGCCGTGCACCTCTACATTTGCAAAGCGCTCTCTTCCCCAATGTGTATTTTATCAGTCCACAGAAACAACTTAAAAATGARATGAAGAAGTGCTATCTGATTAACAAATCCCCCTCAAAATCACTAATGTTCGTGGCCCAACTACTGCATGTGTTTTGATCTCAGCAAGGACACAACTAAATTTAATGCTAATCACCCCTTACATGGTGGGGATCCAGGGGTCTAAGCACCTGAATGTACTTAGCAGACCAGAGCCTCGTGCYCTATGCACACCACTTACTTTCTAGGATGTTGCACCGTTCTGCTAAGGTCAGCATTCGTTGCCGATCCTCTTCCCAGGCCAGCAGCTGTCTCTGGTGCACTGCAACCATGTCATTGAGCTCCTTCTCACGATCCTTCAGTTCTGCAATTAAAAGCTGCAGTTCATGCCTCTGTTTCTGAATGGTGCTGTTCTCAAAGCTGGGGCTAAGTTTCTACAAAAGGTAACAAAGAGGACAGGTTTCAGCACAAAGAAAAAGAGACCAGCTCTCTGATAACAAATGCTCAGCCTGGAATTTATTCTAAATTATTCTACTTTGAAAAGGGAGACTATCCACAAAAAACATTTCTCACACTTTCCATACCACCCACAGGCATTGAGACTCTTAGTGGTGCAATCGCTACTTTCACATCAAAAACACGAGCGTACTGAGACCTAAGGCTGTTTTCCTTATTTTACCTGGGGCGAAGCAGAGCGTGGCAGTGATGAATTCATAGGGGTTTGGGGACCAGGCTCCCGCCACGTGCTAGTGGAGCCTCCTAAGTGTTTACGCCCTGCAACGTTCAGCTGGGASGCTCCATGCGACCCGGCGCTACATGGTTAACCGCCAACACCCCCTCAGAGCGGGCAGCCCTGCAAGGGCGAGAACGGTGAGGGGCGCCGGGCGGCCGGTGCCTGAGGGAGGCGCTTCGGGAGCGTCGCTGCCGCCGTCCCGCCCTTGGCTGCGGAGCGGCCTGGCCGGGAGGGACCGAGGGCCCCGYGGCCGCCCCAGCTCAGCGCCGCGGCCGAGGCCCCGCCGCCCCCTCAGCTGCTCCCGCCCGTTACCCCGGAGCCAGCGCCGCGCCTGCGCGCGAGCCCCGCCCCGCGGCCGTTAGGGGAGGCCCCGCCCCCCGGCCGTTGGGGAGGCCCCGCCCCTCGTCCCGCCTTCCCTCTACGTCCATCGGTTCGAGTCCCCGCACCGCCCGCTCGAGCCGCCCCAATCTGCCTGGCTGTTTAAAATAGTAATAATTAATAACCATCAACCTGTTCGGCTTTTAAAATGGCAGACACAGAGATTTTCATTACTTCAGTTATTATTTTCCTTTAAGACTGTTAAAAGGAGCCCTACAGAAAGCAGAARCTGCACTCAGTGAGGAACAGTCATTTTATTTAAATCTACTTCATGCATAAGCATGATAAAAACCCAATTTAACTTTGGCAAATATCACAAAAAAAAAAAGAAACAAACAAACAAAATAAACAAGCAGCCTATACAGAATGGTGAAAATGCCAAGGATATGGGTTCTCCACAGTTTCACTGCAGAGTAAATGGATTCAGAAGCCTTGCTTTGGCTACATCATTTATAACCATATAATTAAATAAACTTAGTCTTTCACTATCACTTCTTGACTTCTCCAAGATCTTCAATGCTATCATCATCAACCTGGAGAGGGGAAAAATACATAATATTAAGTATGTTTTCTTCATACAGTTCACACTCAGTAGCCACCACTGAACAGGTAGTGGAATGCAGGGGAGAGAAGCAGACAGCCCCATCCCAGAGTCCCTTTAAAAATTGAAGCGCAAGTGACATGCGCTTTCAGGCACACTGGCTTTTGAAGTATTTTAAAAGAGATCTTGAAATAAAATGACACTAAAGACTCCTTAGGTATTCACTGTGAAGAAACACTCAGGGAAAATCCACAGACACTTGACACACCTTTCTCCCTGCAGGATCCAAAGCACTAGTAACTATATGATTACATAGCTAATGTCCTTGGACAATGAAAACAGTATTTGACTTCAAGCTGAACCACTTAGCTTAATCATACATAGGCAGGAGTTAAACTACTACTCTCTAATTTTTGCACAAAATGTGCTGTGAAATATGAAAACACTGGTCAAAATCACTGGAAAGAAAACAGGCTTTCATGGTAAACTAGAAATCTCACATAAGCAGTTTATTACCTCAGGCCACTTCTCCTGGATTACCTCGATGATATCATCTGTAAAATCCCCCTGAATGATTATTTCATCTTCTCCTGTTACTGAGGCACCGCAGGAAAATTTCTGAGCAAAGAACCTTTGTGCTTCCTTAAGGTCAATCTCTGTTGACAAGAAAGTTATCACGTTAAGTACAGTCATTGTCATACATATGTCTTTTCAAATTTAAAGTCAGAATTTAAATCTTGTTTTCACTGTTACGGGACTAGTGGTAGATTACAGTTCCGGCCATGTTACAACGTCCGGTTCAAGTAGAAATAAAGTCTGTTATTCATATACAGAACAATTTACAAACATGGCAAATTTCTTGGGGCAACATCTTAGACTGATCTCTATATATTCTGCAGTTTGCGCTGTACAAAATTACCAGAAAAAAAACGCAGGACTTTCTAAAACAAACAAACAAATTCAGTCTTGAGTTTCTTAACATTAAACAAGCTAAGACTCTAGTCGATATGGTGAAGTTAAAGGCAAGCATATCTAAAACCTACAATAAACACTCGACAAAAATCAACTCACCAAATGTTGCCAGGCCGCATACTCTTGTGACATATTTTTTCTTTGCTCTAGGAATTTTTGCTATTGTAACTTTCTGTGGTACAGTCTTCTTTTTCTGTTTTATCTGACCTCTTCCACCTTTAAAATAGAGTAGATTATTGGTTAAATGTTACACTTGAGGGAAAATGTGTAGAAGGTCAGATTTCATCACTAAAAACAAGGGAACTTTCTCTCCTCTCTGTACACATACATGTTTTACACATTAAGCATCTCCAACTCGGATTATTTTAGAAAGGTCTCATGGCATCAAAGCACAAAATTACAAGAAACAACAATAAATGCATACCAAATTTGCATTAAAATATAGCATTCACAGCATGAGTCTGTTACAACTATGAAAAGGGGACTTTTCCATGCTTGAATTACTGACCACTGCATTTGATCAACATTTAACCCCTTTCAGGAACTGCTCTTTAGTCAAGAGCAAATGACTACTTTTATGTTTTTCACAAGCTTTGTGTGCTGAGAGTTCCTGCCTCAGACAAACTGCTCATGCACATTTATTTATGCCAGAAGGAATTGCTTACTCAAGCTGCTGAGTTAAACAGCAGACTAAGCACTAGGCATCTGCATGCATTCTAGCACTAAACACAAATACGTGTTAGCAGAAAACCACCATGCCTCTACAACAGACGCCTGTTACAGTTGCTGACTGCCTTACTTCCACAAAAGCAGTAACTTGTCATTTACCACTTGTTTCTAGGTCAACCTGAGGGAGCACTTCACATATCAGGCATTTATTAGTCTGAGTAAGGCATGCAGAAGATGTATATAGCTCATTAGTATTCCTTAAGTCAGATTAAGATCTTGGCTAACTGCATACACTCCTCAAGTCACTCCAGAGTAACCAAAGCTTTTTGTTCTAGAGACTTCTCACTAAGAAAATCTTAAAGTCCAGGAGAAACAAACAAATCCCTTCCTACTAAATCTACCAGCTATCTAACATGCAGTACTCTCAGTTCTACATCACTAAAAAATGGTATCTGGTAATTTAAGACAGTAAATTTATGCCTTAGCATTTCTTTAGAGTCTCAGATATGTCCATTTTCCTCATAACTCCCTCTCCCCTTATAATTAATCTTGTATTCATCATCCTTAACAGTTTAATATATCACACTAATTTACTGTGAAAATCTATATTTTTATACTTTAGGAGAAAAAACAAACTAGTTAAATATTATTTAGAAAAGGAAACTGAAAACTAACCCTGTGACCTCATACAACACATTTATCTCAAAAGGAAATCAAATCCTGTTAAATGAATACTCRGCAGGGGTGGAAGAGGCATTATGAGAGGAAGGCAGTGTTTGTTCTAGTCTGCAAACTGTCCTACAAACTGCTGTTAAACAGAACAAAGCAGTATTTTGGGAGGCATGCTGTGCCTTCAGGTTCAGAAAAACGAATAATTGCTTCCTGAGTAAGTGCCACAGCAGTGACAAGAACAATCAGGCAGATACACAGAATAGGTCATATTTTGCTTACTATTATTATTACTTTTTTTAAAAAAAATCAGCATATTTAATTGTCCTGTCACTGTACAAACTCTGCCACTAACTGGAAGAAACATTTCTATATTCATTTTCCGGAAGTCATCTTAGGGAGTTCAAAGTTTATCAAGGTGAAGGAAACTGTGCCACGGGCCAGGCCAGCTAATTAGAAAACCATGTCTCCAATTGCTCATAAATCAATACCACAAATCAACTATGTAGACCTTGCCTCTCTTTTGCTTCTTCTTCTCCTCTTCTTCTCCTGCAGTTCCTTGGCCTTCTCCAACCCCAGCTTCCTGTTTAGGTGAATTTTCTGGAATATATCAGAAGAGGAAGAGGAAAGGAAAGAGAAATTAGTGGTCAAATTGCCACATTCTTAACACAAACAATTTAATAGTTTAACAAAGTTAAAATACAGTAAAATACACTACTTCATATTCAGTAAGTGTAGCTTGTCTGATAGCTGTTAAAAATACAAATAACACAGCAGTTYGACCAAGTTAAACTTCTGACACTCAGAAAAGCCTTTGCTCAAGCATACGATTACGATTCCAGAAAAGATTCTTCACATAATTTATGCACATGGACAGATTCCATTTAATTCTACAGTAGAGATATAAGTTTAGATAAACTGATTGCATTAGTTGACCAGAAACAAGTGCATGAATGACTGAYTGCAGTAGAAAATGTCTCTACCTCTTAAGAAAGAACAAGCATTTTTTTTCTGCAATCACACATTATTTGTCCAGTGCTTTCTAACACTATGAAACTTATTTTTTACAGCAACCAAAGCATGCCAGACTCCCAAAGGTCTGATTTGACTTTCAGACTTAAAATAGCTGCAAGAACTGAGAAGCAGAAAAGAACAAAAATTTATGAACAAATCTAAGAATATATATCTTCTGATTCAGAAGAGAGAGAAAGATTCTTACCTACTGTAAGTTTTGCAAACTCATCTGGAAAATTCTTTTCTAGCCATTGTCTGCATTTAGTCACATCAGGCATATATTCACAGTACTAGAGAAGACCAAGCAAATGCTGTTAGCCAAGTAACTACAAAAAGGCACAAAAATACAGGTCATTTGCTATTCAGCCCAGATATTTAACCTTAAGGTGATTAAAGACCAACACAGTTGGTCTTTAATAAGAAGTTTCATGACACTTTAAGAAAGACAACAGCTGAAACACAGAGTTGCTGTGTTGCTGWGTTGCTGCAATTACAGAAAAGCCAGCAAAGATCAGAAATAATCATCATAATCAGAATATACACAGGTCAGAAAACCAAAAAAATGACTCAGATAGAAAAAAAAACTCACCTCTGTAGGCAAGGAACAGACTGGAGAAAGATGGGAGAAAAAAAAAAAAAAGATTACTTAAAGGTGTTCTTCAATTGTAAGTAGCATTACATTCAAAATTATATTTAAAAATTTTGGGACAGGTTATGYCAATTTTCGGTTATAACCATGCTAACTCAAAAGATTATTTGCTTTTGAAACTGTGACTTTCAATTTTCTCTCATTATTCATTTGCTAATTGTCCATTAGGCTAAAATACTCACCGTGAGAGCAATCAAATCCATGAGGAAGCAAAGACAACACTTTACCCTAGGATTCATAAAGAATCACCAGTTCTACCCAAAACAGTTAGGGTGGTTTTCCTTTTCACAAGAGCAGACAATGCCCAGAAGATGAAATCAGCTTTAGAACACACCAAAAAACAACTGCACAGACTTTCATACCAAACAGGGATTCTTTCCTAAACCCCTGCAATTGCGTTCAGACCCAAAGCATAACAACATACTGATCTAAAACATATCTTTCAACACTTACTTTCTTAGAATTCAGCCATATTACTACAAATGCAGCAACAAGCAAGGCAAAATGATATGAAGGCAGAATAACTGATTCTGATTCCACTTTTTATTATCACACTGATTTTCAAAGGTCTWTTTTGTGCTAAAGATTTTACTGACTTTTTGGAGGCAGATCACTGTGCAACAGTTCATAACCTGAGTACTGCTCCTGTCAATGCAACTGTTTATGTGCAACTGTTTATGTGAAGACACTAGTACCTCCATCTTTCGAACAGAGGCGGCGGGCCACCCACTCCATTGTAAATGCTTTGGACAGAATACAAAATTTAACCTGTTCTAGGAAGGAAATCAGAAGGGGCAARCTGATCACTGCCTATCTTCTAAATCAAAGCTGACCAACATCGAATCTCCGATTTACTCATTTTCTCTGCAGGGCTGCCTTTACAAATAGCACATTGTAAGAATCAAACAACTGCCCCTTCACCACTTGCCTCCACAGTAGAGGACCCGAAGAGGATAGTCAGCATCTGACTTGGCACCGCTCCTCACATCTCCTTTGCAGTCAAGGACCACGGGCTCAGCTACATCTGTAGCCATCTCRGAAGCCTGCAGGACACAGAAATGATCAGGGTTTACATAAGGAAAAAAAAAAAAGTGTATGTGTTTGGAGTGGGGATCAGATGCAAGAAGCATTGCAAATAAGAGTCATGAGGCAATAAAAGGGGCTGCAAGGCACAAGGGGGCTCCCCTGGAACACAAAGGATGGCTCGTGTGGAAGGCTCGGGGGCAGATGGTTGTAAGAGCTGCATGTGGGCAGTGCACAGAGCTGAGAGGAAAGGACAKGGCACCAGAAGTCATGGGGTTCACACCAATGAATGGGGGATCACAAGGAGAGGCTGGAGGGGTCAGTGCTGGCGGCAACAAGCAAGCCAGGAAGCACWGGAGATAGTAAGAGAGGGGAGACGGCGCAGCGAGGCTGAGGGCTAAGAGCGAGAGGGGGCCCGTGATGGAGAGGAGGCTCCGTGTCACTAGAGAGGACGAGGCCGCAGGCAGGGACACGGCGGGCCGGGGGTGCCGGACACCGCCGCGCGGGGACGGGAGGGCGCTCGGGGAGGCAGGTGCCGGGGCACAGCGGCCGGGGGTGGTCACCGCGCGGGGAGGCGCTGCGGCACCGGCGCGGGCGGCGAGGCCCGGCACCGGGACAGGCGGGGCGGGGGAAACGGAGGGGCACGGAGGTGGCGTCGAGGCGTTACCCGAGCGGCCCCTCAGGCCGCGGCGGCAGCAAGGGCGGCTGCTCCTCCCGCGGCGGCGGCGGCTCCCACACGGCGCGCGCGGCACGTGCGCCCTGCCCAGCGCCACCGCCGTCTCGCGAGAGCCGCGCCGCCGCGGARGGGCGTCTTTTGAGCCTTCGGGCGTCCCGTAGCTGTGGGGAAGGGTGCGYGCTAGCGCCGAGTATTGGCTCCGGGAGCACGTGACGCGGAGCGCTACGGTGCGGCGGAGCGGCCAAGCGGCGCCGCTTCGCCGAGGCGCGGTGCTGCGGGGCCGCCATGCCCCGCTACGCGCAGCTGGTGATGGGCCCGGCGGGCAGCGGGAAGGTGAGGCGGGAACGGGAACGGGAACGGGAACGGGAAAGGAGGGGCAGGGCCGCCCCTCACCCGTGCGTGTGCCTTGCAGAGCACGTACTGCGCCACCATGGTGCAGCACTGCGAGGCGTTGGGCCGCGCCGTGCAGGTGGTGAACCTGGACCCGGCCGCAGAGCTCTTCAGCTACCCCGTCATGGCAGGTGAGCGGCGCGGCGGGCCCGCGGTAGCCCTGATCCCACCCGGACCGCAGGATGGGCCCCGCGCTAGGTGGGAGCTCTGGCGTTTTGCACATACTTGTGTGTGTGTATATGTACATCACATATATACATTGATGTGCACGGCTATGCAGTGTAGGTAGGTAACAGGCTTAAGGTGCTCTTTCTTACCTTGGTTTGGTGTGAAGACCCTTGGCACAGGAGAACAGCGAGATTTCTGGGGTGGAAACAGCACCCAAGCTGTCRGCTCTCCTTTCCATACCTAGGGTTCACACGAGACTCCCGTAAGGTTTGAGCACGTAACAGCAACTGGCCTCTGTGCATCACTGTAAACAAGGTGCTAGAAACACGTCCTGTGTCTCATTTCAGACATCCGCGAGCTAATAGAAGTGGATGATGTTATGGAAGATGATTCCTTAAGGTTTGGTCCCAACGGCGGCTTGGTGTTCTGTATGGAATACTTTGCAAATAATTTTAACTGGCTAGAGGAGAGCCTTGGTCATGTGGAGGATGACTATATATTGTTCGATTGCCCAGGTAAACATACTTATTTTAATCAGCATATTTAAATACAATAACTGTGAACAAGATTATGCTTCTTTATGTGGTGGTTTTCCATTGCTACATAGTAATATTSCAAGTGTGTCCTAGGTCAGATCGAACTCTACACACATTTACCAGTGATGAAGCAGCTGGTGGAGCAGCTTCAGCAGTGGGAATTCCGTGTCTGCGGAGTTTTTCTTGTTGATTCTCAGTTTATGGTGGAATCTTTTAAGGTATCCATTTGAAATCTATTTTAAAAGCTCATATTAGTAGAAAAAAAAGAAATCTAAGTATAGGGAACTGGGCTTTTTTGTTGTTGTTGTTTTATTTTGTTTTTAGCTTGGAAAATGTTAATTGGGGTTGGGGGTTCTGATTGCAATTGTCATCTACTTAGTGAGCAGTTATGGAGAAGAATGAGCCATATCCTGCATGTTGGTGTTGCCTTTGTACTTAAATATGTCATCTTTCATATTCCTTTAAGTTTATCTCTGGAGTTCTGGCAGCGCTCAGTGCAATGATATCTTTAGAGATTCCACAGATCAACATCATGACCAAAATGGATTTGCTGAGCAAGAAAGCTAAGAAGGAAATTGAAAAGTAAGTTCCCCGTATACTTCACTCAAAAATTCAAACTTCACTCAAAATTCCCACAATTAAAATCTACTGTTCTGGAATAGAAAACGATACTTTTGCTTTATATTTAACAATGACTTACTTGTTCTTTAGTGAAGATTTTTTGGATGTTAATGATGACCTTTTTGTCCGTCCAGGTACTTAGATCCAGATATGTATTCCATGATTGAGGATTCTACAAATATATTAAAAAGCAAAATGTTTAAGAAAYTGACTAAATCCATATGTGGTTTGGTAGGTGTATTGCTATTTATTCTAACGTATTCTTAAATTCAATACTGTATTTATATGGCTACTGTCTTCTTTGATCTTATAGATATTACATATATTACAAATATTTTTTCCCCCTCTAAAACCTACATTTTTACATGACAGTTGCTAAAAGATTAGCAACTTTGAAAAATAGTTTTGCCTAATGTGTAGGACCGGCGAATGATGGGCAGGTGTTCTAATTGCTCTGGTTTGCAGTGTCCTTTTAAGAGGTGTGTTGGGAGTCCAGGCAGGGAAGGTTTGGTTCAGAGAAGTGGCTTAGAGTGCTCTGAGTGTAAAAGAATTAACTTGCTGCACTTTCTAACTAATGTTTTCTAAATCTTTTCTCTAGATTGATGACTATGGTATGGTTCGATTTTTACCATTTGATCGCTCTGATGAGGAAAGTATGAACATAGTTCTGCAGCATATAGACTTTACCATTCAGTATGGAGAAGATCTTGAATTTAAAGAGCCAAAGGTAAGGTCCTTTTGATGATAAATTGAAAAACTTATGACATATATGGTACAAGAAGACTAGTGTCTTAAAATCGGTTCTGAGCCCCTTCTAATTTGATCATTCAGATCAAATCCTAAGGGACAAATTCAGTGCTTCTATTCCATTTCCTCTAATTCCGCTTTGTACTTGTGCAATATGCAAAATACCTGGATCTAGATTTTGACCCACACAACTCGGAAAGCTCGGATACCTCTGGAGACAAATTATTTTCCAGAAAGTTTTGCTACTGGTTTTGTGGAATCATAGGAGACATTTTTCCTTTTTTTCTTTTTTTTTTACCCATAAGCAATTAAAATTTCAGAGAACAGACATTATTACAGCTGTGGGGGAAAAGAGTCAGGTTTTACTTTTGCTTTCTGTCTGGCAGGAATATGAAGAAGATAAATCTGCTCTTGTGGATGAGTATTTTCAAGATCATGTGGATGAGTAGAATGAATATGTTCAARCCTATGTTTTCCTCAAACAAAGGAAATATCTTGGTTGTAAAATATGTCAAGTATCATATTTGTACAGTTTGGTTTTTTATCTCTAAGTTAATTAAAATTTCTATTGAAAAGTGATCCTGTATGACCTCATAATTATTTCAGTAAATGATTTTATTGTTATGTTTCTGTGGTATGTATTATTGTATTCTGTATGTATTACTGCATCTGTAACAAAGGTCCCAACATATCACTGTCTCAATTAAATATAGGAACATTTGGGGAAAAGCAGTTGCTGGCAGAAGAGCGAGCCACAGCCTGCTCTTAGAAAAATACAAATAATTTATAAAAAACATTTATCTCCAGCCCTGGGCAGTTTGTTCTGCTATTAGATGAGTGAAAATTCTGCTTTAAAGAGTGAAGAATGTATTCTGCTTTAAAGAGTGAAAGAAAATTCTGCTTTAAACAGTGAATGTGAAGAATCTTCATGAGGGAAGAAGATGATAACTGGCAGCTTCAAGAGGAAAACTGTTCAGTGGGTGGACCTTCTTGAGAAAGATAATTATTTTATGTTCACTGTGATGAGAAAAAAKAGCTGCTCTTGTGCCCTGAATGGAGAATTCACACTCCTGCTAAGGACAGCATATGTGATCTGTATAGCAGAACATGCACAGGTTTTACACAGAAGCAATATTAAAGCACTTTATCCTTGAAGAACATATTCACTAAAGTAACTAAGTGCAAGTAAAAACAGAGGTGGCACTGGTCCATGCCATCCGATCATATGCAAGGGTACCTCATTCCTGCATGTGTGTACAGCCTCACAGGTGTTTGCATGCTTAGCTGTGTCAGCTTTATGAATTACAAAACAAATTTCATATTCACCATTCATAAAACCTTACCTCTCAGAGTCATGCTCAGCAGAAAGAGCTGAAAAACAGAACTCTTCAAGGCTTAAAAACATAGTGCAAARTACAGAATATACTTGATTAGTTATTATTGTGGAGGTTATTCTCATTATGTGGACAGCCTTTTACACTTGAATGTAGCTAAGCACATCAGTGGGCACTATTCTCTGAATTATGATGCCTTGGAATCAGCCACAGGTAGCCAATGACTGATGTAAATTTGCTAGGGCAAACCTAAATGCAGACATGGTTAATTTTGATTTGTACTGACTGAATTAAACCGTGCAAATACTTCAGCAAATTTCCAAGCTTGCACATCTTTGGGATGAGTCATGCTTGTGGARTGCTGAAAGGCACAACCTAAGTCCCTCACTTAGATTCTTTTGACTCAGTTTCCACATTTCCCCATTTTTTCTCCCTGACACAAGCAGTGACATTATGTTCTGTCATTTGCCTGAGGACAAATTAGGAGTGCTGGGTCACAGGGAAGATTAAGATTATAACAGAGGATTGGATAGCTCAGCAAGACTCCAAAAAGGGTATATTCCTCTGAACTCCCAGCCCAACATGGTCCCACTTGTGTGCTTCCTTATCCCTAGTGCAACAGCGAGTTCTCACAGACCAGCCTGGCTGCCTACACTTTGCAGGTCAGGTCCCAGAACAAGATGTGCAGAAGTGCACGCAAYGCAAAACTGGCTGCAAGCAAAGGGCCCCAGTCTGGTGTGCTTCCTGGTGCATGACAATTTGATGCGCTTTGTGTGCTTTTGTCATGCTCTAATCCTTGCAGGGGTGGGGGGGAAGTTGGCCTCTGTCACTGAGGAAGTATTTCAGATCTGCTTGAAAGAAGGCACCATAGCATAGAGGGGTTGAGARGGCTTTATATGCACTGACAGACAATGCAAAGGGAGAGGGAAAGGAGGAACATGATTCCAGAGGGGAAAAGCAAACAAATGCCAGAACCATGAGGGGTTTCTGGGCATTTCCCCAGCCCGGCTGAGTTTCTGCAGGCAGCTGCACTCTCTGGGCGGTGCAAGCGCCTGGCCTCTCCTCTGGYTTCCCCTGCTCGCACCGCCTCCGCCGCCTCATTTCCTGCAGCGCAGGCGGAGGAGGAAGGATTGCGGCGAGCCCGTCCGTGCTCCCCTCCTGCCCGGCCCTGCCCAGCTGCGCCCTGCCCGTCGAGATGCCGGTGAGGGGGATGTGCTGCGCTCGCGCCCGCGCGCCCCGGGCGCCTGCCAGCCCCGGCTGCGGGCAGAGAGGGCAGCGGGCCTGGGCGAGAGCGCGCAGGCCTGGCAGGGCGGATGCTGCCGGGTGTCCCGGGGCTGCCACCGCGGGAAAGGGGCCTCGCTGCTTGGGCCTGACCTGGCACTTGCGTGCGGGGGAGACGGGGCCGTAGCTGCGGGGATCCTGGATAGAAAAGGGATTGCTGTTTATGGGAGGCTGCTGCGAGGCCGGTATCCTCCACTTCCTGCTGTGGGGGATGCTGTCCACCTCTCTAGGGTGCAGCTAGATGTGTTTTTGCAGTTAGAAGGATGACAGTCCCCCCACAGCCACATCTCCGGGCACTCCCAGCTGGCTCCAGTAATAAAGGTGGTCTTAAAGCTGCCCTTTACAATGGGCTAGTTCATAACATCTTCCTCATGTTGAAATAAACTGATTTCCTGTGAAATGCTGCTGCTGCCCCTCAGACGCACTCCCCAAGACCCTGCAAAAGACAGCTGTGAGGGGATGGAGGCTTTCTAGCGGCCTGAAACTGTGCACTGCAAATATCTGGAAGTTAAATTCATCAAGTTTTTAAAATCTGTATTCTAGGAAGAACCTTGTCATTCACACAAGGATTTTCTTTTGTTTTGTCACTGATAAATACTGGATTTAAAGCACACAAGCTGGTCTATTTTGGAATCTTGTTGATATGCAATAAGCCTGGATTTATTATTATCTACTACTATTAGTTAGACATGGAATAAAATAATATTTTTTAAGGCCCAAGTCACCTAACAAACCAATTTTCCCTTGCATACTTTCATAATGAAAAGCCCAGTAACTTATACAAGAGAACAGTAAGCAAGTGCAAGTAGATCTACCACACCAGTTTCATCATATCTTCCACCACTGCTACCATAAATAATGTCTGTGCTGAATCTTTTATGGTCTTYACCAGAATATCATTGAGAGCTAGGCCTAATTTGAAATTGGCTACCGTTTGTTCAAAGTAAAATTGCTGGAAACATCACTGACTAAACACTGAATCAGAGACATCTGGGAGACACTTAAGACCTGTTTATGTTGCCACGAGGACAATGAAATGCCTATTTCTAGTAATATTCATAACTAGTCTTCCCCTCTGTCCACAGGCCTACCATTCAACTCTAATGGACTCTGATACCAAGTTAATTGGGAACATGGCATTGTTACCCATCAGAAGCCAATTCAAAGGCCCAGCACCTCGGGAAAGTAAGTTTACCATAATCTCTGAAAATTTGTTTTCATATTGCTCATAATCACATCACAGTTTGTTCAAAGCCAGCTCTACCACACTGGTCATGTCAAGTATATGCTTTCTGTCAGTGGKGCAAGGAAAAGTAATTACCATGCAACAGTTATGTGAAAAAAAAACAAAAACTTTTCTCCCTACTGGCTTATTCTCTTGCTTTAGAATTAAAGAAAAAATAATGCCTACAGTTACTACTTTCATGCTTCCTCCTTGTGTTCTCTACAGTCAAGTTTCACTGTGGTTTTCAGTAGGCTTTGAGGAGAACTTCTAACTGGTGTGGACCCTGCGACGTAAGAGGAAGTAGTGGTTGAGCTAAAGAGAACCAGCTCTTTGGAGCTGAAGCTTGAGAGTCACTGCTGCGCTGCAGGATGGGGAGTTAAGGCAGCACCTTAGGGCGTGCAGCTTCAGAAATTGAAACTTAAATTCTGGTACCCAGAGGCACTAAAAGTTTTATAGGTAGCTTAAAACAGATTCCACTTCAGCACTTCAAATAGCACTTCCTAGGCTTATCTCACAGTGGCGTGGTGTTGCAGTTGGAAAAAGGAAACATCTCTGGGGTTAGGCAGTTTTTTGTTTTAGCAAAAAAAGATGAAAGATCTAAGTGAGCTTCTGACTATATACTGTTCTTTTTTTTTTTCCTTCCAAAAAGGATGATGAAGATGATTGATTGTGGTATTGTACTKTCTCAAAAAATATTTGTCTGCTCTCAGAAGACTTTCATGGTGATAAATTACTCAAATAGTAGTAGGAAACCATGTGGAAGTGATGAATTGTTGCCCTTTGTGAAGTGAGAAATAATAGGGAGGAAGGAGGGGAATTAAAACTTCTGCTAAAATTAGTAAACTTAAATACTATGATATGAATTATGGAAAGTCTTTCACACAGTTTCACAATAGTTGTAGCATAGTGGTGTTTTCTGCTGTTTGTAAATAGCAAGATATTGTCTTTGCAAGAATCATTGTTTATGTACTTTAGTGAAAGAAAGCCATGACTTTAGTATGCTGGTTCACTGTTTAACTATATTTCTTTTTTTTTTTTTTGATAGCTAAGGACACAGACATTATAGATGAAGCCATCTACTACTTCAAAGCTAATGTTTTCTTCAAAAATTATGAAATTAAGGTAATTTTTTGAGATATTACACATTCAAAAAGTTTTTGGAGATTTGGTGCTGTGTATGTAAATGTATTTGCAATACAGTAGTTGTACCAGATAATAAAAAAAAMCCCTTCCTCTCATTTATGTTTTTTAATTTGGATAAATGTCTTGAATTGCTAATTCCTGTCTTGTGAGAAAGCTATAGGCTAAAATGACTTAAAACTCATTCCTGTTTCTTTTTTTTAAGAAAATCAGTTCCATAGTCTTCATTACTCTAACAGTGCTTGAGGACTCTGCTTACTTTTATTTTGCAGAATGAGGCTGACAGGACATTGATCTACGTAACTCTCTACATTTCTGAGTGCTTGAAAAAGCTGCAGAAGGTAGGAAAACAGGAACTTGAGTGGAGAGAGGAAATTGAATCTGCTCGAGACTGCATTTAGGAGAATATTCGATGATATTCTCCTCCTAGTGGCACAAGTTGTACTGTTCACCTCAGTTCCAGTTGTCAGATCCAGAGATATTCCAAAGCTGTGGATTGCCAAAAAGACGTTTCATTGCTATCCTTGATGATTCTTTTCTGCTACAGATTGATTAAATATTTGATTTTAATGCTTTATAAGCTTTTGCTCATATATTTAATCATTTGCCTTTTTTTTTTTYCAGTGTAACTCCAAAGGCCAAGGAGAGAAAGAGATGTACACACTAGGAATCACTAACTTCCCGATCCCTGGGGAACCTGGCTTTCCACTTAATGCCATCTATGCTAAACCTGCCACCAAGCAGGAGGAAGGTAAGAATAAAAAGCACCTCTGAAGGCTTATGTTGGCCTGATGCTTTGCAGCAATGACGAAGAAAGTGATCCCTAGACCCCTATTGCACCTTCTAGATCTGTAGCTCTGACTTTGAGTGCACCATAACCAGAATTTGCTGACCTCAGGGGCTCAGCGACTCCTCTGAATCTGTAGATCCAGTGGAACCAGGAAGGAGGAGTCTGCCTTTTATATCACCGTTATCGCCATCTAAGTCCTGTAGCTGAGCCCTAGCCAGCTGTCCTCCTGGAGAATAGGAATCCCACAACAGTGAGCAAAGGCTGCTAAGAGAACAGTTCAGATGGTCAGCTTTACTGATGCAAATACCATTAACAATCCCAAATATGGCTGTAATTTGAATAAGCAAATAGTCAGACAGTGTCTGCAGATGTGCAAACCTGCACTGTCTGCTGTAAGCAGCTTTATGAAATGCTTTSCTTGTTGCTGCCTCAGTTTACACCCTGTTCTTTGCTTGTGCTGTTTCAGAGGTGATGAGGGCCTATTTGCAGCAGCTGAGACAAGAAACAGGTCTTCGGCTTTGTGAAAAAGTATTTGATCCTCAAAGTGACAAACCTAGTAAGGTAAGAGTTGAAYGTGATATTCATAGAAAACCACATGAGATGTGGTTTTCCTTCCAGAAACATGTGGAAAGCAGCAAGATGATGGAGTGAGGGATGAGATGTGGGTTACTCCAGAGCAAGCTTCTCTGGGTTGATGGGGGTAGTGCAATAGTAGACTGCAGTTTATTTAAAAAAATAATTTGTAATGTGCTAAACTAGCAAATGCCATTTTAGGTTATTTTAAAAAGCAAGGAAGTAATACATGTGCCTGATTTTTTTTTTTTTTTAAGTCTTGTTGTATGTCTTCTGATTTCATATTTGCTTTTCCAGTGGTGGATCTGTTTTGTGAAGAGACAGTTCATGAACAAGAGCCTGTCGGGACCCGGGCAGTGAAGGAGCAAAGCAGCAACAATGYTATCTATTTCCATGGGGTGTACAAAGTATTTTGCCTTTATTTCAAATACATTTTGTACCATACAAGAATTAAGTGCTTATAAAGAAAAAATAAATCAGTCAATGAGGAAAATAGAGAGATGGAAGAAAAAGATCACTTGAGTACTGTAAACAAGTATTATTAAGCTGGTGCTTAATAAATGATTCTAATATGCTGTTTCAGCTGCTTTTTTGTCAGTGGCTACAGCTAGCATTTAAATAAAAAGGAGAAATGTGTACGGGGCTATGGAATTGCTCTACTGGCTAGAGTTTCGTTATCATGTGTCCCTGAAAAATGTGCCTCTCATGCTTTGTTGTCAAGTGCAGTGATTTTTACTTTCCCCCCACCCCCTTCTTTCTTAATAAACTTAGCTTGTGATTATCGTGGTAATTGCTTCATGTCTTCAAAGGAAATCCAAGTTTTGTCTTTGTTAAAAGCCTTCCTTACTGTGTAATGGGAGAGCAATCAACAGGAAGTGAATCATTCCTGTTGGAAACAAGGGATTAATAGCAGGGCTATAGTCTGCAGTACTTGGTTTTATGAAGGTCTTCCTTTGTAGAACAGTGTTGTACTGCAGAAAAAGAACTTAAAAGGAACAGATTACATATACCTTATTCCAAGCTGCCTTCCTTTGCAAAGGCAGGTTCAGTCAAAGTCAGCAAAACTGAGTGTGTTGGATCAACCAGATGATTCATTAAAAAAAAAAAAGCATATATCTGAGCTCTGTATGCTCTCCCGGGCCATTCCTTTCCTTCCTGGTAACACTTATTTCACTCTCTCCCTATGGTACTAACACTTTTGTGTGTGTGTTTGTGTTACTACCACCGCACTTCACAAGGTTGTTCTACCTGGCCCTTTTAACAGCACGCTCCCGGAAAAACAAATGCTTTTATTTTTATCAGCAGGAGCAGTAGTGACAGGACAAATATGTTCTGTGTTCTTCTTTTGCAACAAACAATAAAGGAGAAAAAAAAATCAACAATTTGGGAATATAAAGAAAGAAACAGCGCTGAATTCACGTGGTGGAACAGTTCAAAGCTATTASTGCTATGCAAGGCTCGCTTTCCTTCCGGTTTACACCTCATAGCCAATGAAGACCCCAGTGAGGCCTCTGCCTTGGTCAACTCCCCCAAGGAACGTGTGAGGACTCCCGCCCTGGGAAGTTAGGCTGCCAGGACCTTTCTCCTTAGTTACCTATTTCTCTAAGCAGGTTYCTCAGGATCTCCGAGACCTCTGCCACACTTATGCGCCGCAGCCAGTTGGTTTCACAGCCTCGGGAGGAAGCGCTCCAGCCRCAGGAGCTGCGCAGGAGCGGCCGCAAAACGACTCCCACCGGCGGCTGCGACGCTCTAAAATGGCGCCGCCTCAGGCGGAGGCGCCGAGATCGCGGGCTCCTGCGCACGCGCGGAGAGGGGTCCTGGCGCCGTGTCGGGCTGCCCCGTCGCGCGCCTGTTGGCGCGGGGCCTGTCGGGCAGCGGCGCGGGCGGCGGCGCGCGAGGCCCCCTCGGTGGCGCCATTTTGGAGCGGCGGTGCCGGTGCCGTCCCGGTGTCTTCCCGCCCCCCGGCAGCATGAGCGTGGTGGAGCACGTGCGCGAGATGGCGGCCGCCGGCCTGCACTCCAACGTGCGGCTCCTCAGCGGGCTGCTGCTCACCATGAGCGGCAACAACCCGTGAGTGGCCGCCGCGGCGGGGGGGGCGATGCTGGCAGGGCCGGCGCGGAGCCCGGGCCCGAGGGCGCAGGACCAGGGATGTTTCTCCCTGTGAGGCAGCGCTGTGTATTTTCCGTGGCTTCTGAGGTGCTTGTTAAAGCCCCAGTGGAGATCTGAGCCTTGACTTACTCGCACTCCTCTAAGTGTATTGGAATTGCTAAAAAAAATAATGGTTTATCAAATATGGGATGTGGATTGGGCTCAGGACAGCTGTGCAAGGAACTGRGTTGCCTTTAAGTCTGAGGCTGTTCAAGGAAAACGTGCTTTGAAGGGCACTTGGCTGTGATGGGGAGGATGGAAGTCACTCTGTTATGGAAAGCAGTGGCCAAGCAGCAAAATATAAGTTGTTACTGCTGATAATATGTCAAAAATGACAATTACCATTGTACACCATTATCAAAAAGTGGCAAGATGAGCCCTTTGTGAGGAGATACCATTTATCCCGGGGCCCTTCCGCTGTGGTGGAGCAGCAGCGACAGCAGGAAGCTGAAGCCAGATAAAYCTGTGATAGAAATATTTTGGATCTGTAATTTGCTTGTACTTAGGCAATTRGCTGATCCTAACATCTCTGTTTGCATTTCTTCTAGGGAATTGTTTTCACCATCTCAGAAATACCAGCTCCTCGTATATCACGCTGACTCCCTCTTCCACGACAAAGAATATAGAAATGCTGTAAGTAAGTATACAATGGCCTTGCAGCAGAAAAAGGCGTTAAGTAAAACCTCCAAAGTAAGACCTTCTACTGGGAACGCTGCCTCAACTCCCCAAAGCCAGGTATTTAACAGCTAATGAATGTGCTACATCACATGGTCAGGCACCCCTTAAAATTAATTTTGCTGACTTAACACTCTTCTAGTGGATAAGACTTGCATTAAAGAAAGCAGGTACTTACTGATGTGTTAAATATAAAATATACTGCTTTCTTTTGAAAAACTCAGTTTGATCTAATCTACTAAACATGATATATTAGTTCATGTAACTCATGCTTTTCATTTGTAGACCAAGGCAAGATGAGCCAGCAGTAGGCTATACTGGTGACGTTATTGCAGTGTAAATGTTAATGAAAAACTTTATTCACATTTTTTTTAGATGAGTAAAATGGCATCGTACTTAAATGTGTGTTTGTTTCAGTGCTTACCATCTGAAATTGAAGTGAAGTATAAAATGGCCGAGTGTTACACAATGCTGAAGCAGGACAAAGATGCCATTGCTATCCTTGATGGGATTCCTTCCAGACAGAGGACCCCAAAGGTAGGTTCTGGTGGAYATTGGTCACAAATACATCATCAGCTGCCCTTGAATTTGTAGCAAAAATGAAAATGTAGCCTGCAGGTGTAATAGCATTGTGTTAGTTTTGGGTTAGTTAGATATTGCCAAATTGTAATTGTATCAAAACATTTGAATTGTGCATAGCTGCACCAGAGAATGCAATGTGTGACAGAATGCTACTCCCCTGTAAATGAATGGAAATTTTGTAATTTGAATGTAATGTATGTAAATGAATGTAAATTTTGTCCCCGGACTCAGAAAGAGGAAAATTTATTTTATAGTTTACAGTATGTTGCAGTGATTTCAAAACAGGCAATTTTATCATCTGCCCAGAGCAGATGGGAGGGAGGCACTTCTCTTTTTCTCATAATTGACTCCACCAATGCTTCTCTTGCTTGTAGATCAATATGATGTTGGCAAACCTATACAAGAAAGCAGGTCAAGAACGCTCATCTGTTACAAGCTATAAAGAAGTACTGAGACAGTGCCCTTTAGCACTTGATGCCATACTAGGTAGGTATTTTGCACACACAAGTATTTCAGTATTTAAGTGTTACAATTAAAATGATATCTGTGTCTTAAGTAACTCCCTTCGATTTGCATTCAGTGTGTAATGCCTACGTTATGGAAGTCATAACACTGTAACAAACCACTTGTATATGCTTGTTGTGGGATGGAGTTTTCTCATTTTAGTCCATTAACTTGTATCCAAAGCAGTTTGGCTCAGAGTGATTTCTTTCCGAACAGGCCTGCTCTCGCTCTCGGTGAAAGGTGCTGAAGTGGCCTCTATGACAATGAATGTAATCCAGAGTATTCCTAACTTGGACTGGCTCTCAGTGTGGATCAAGGCTTATGCGTTCGTACATACCGGAGATAACACCAGAGCAATCAATACCATTTGGTAAGAGCTCCTAGAACATGATGTAATCCAGTAATACACAGTGATTGTATACAATTATATTAAAGGTGGCGCTCATTTAACAGATGTTTCTTTTCTCTTGAAGCTCTTTAGAGAAAAAGTCGCTCCTGAGGGATAATGTGGATTTACTGGGGAGCTTAGCAGACTTGTACTTCAGGGCAGGAGATAATAAAAACTCAATTTTAAAATTTGAACAAGCACAAATGCTGGATCCTTATCTAATAAAAGGTGAGTAACTGTAAATCCTCAAAGAAATGCCACATAGAGCTTATTTAACTAATGATCTTCTGGGAAACATTAGATTAGCGGCAGATATATGCAGTTGAGCATTTAGTGCAATATTGAATATTGCTGTCCCTGTTTTATCAGTTCAGAATTTACATTCAGAAGTTTCTGTGCCGTAAATTTATCAGAGAGGGAGTCTTAATTCTTTAAAAAAAAAAAAAAACTTCAGAGGAGCTGCTAAAAAGTTATAAAACACTGGCTCTTGTGCTTAAATTCCATTGGATCCTAGATATTTTTATGCCTTAGTATATGTATTTGTATGAAAATTTAATCTTTGTAATGAATAACTTGGACAACCCTGATCTTCAAATGTTTCACTTTAGGAATGGATGTATATGGTTATTTATTGGCACGTGAAGGTCGATTAGAGGATGTAGAGAACTTGGGCTGCCGGCTCTTCAACATCTCGGATCAGCAYGCGGAACCCTGGGTGGTTTCTGGGTAATTTTCTTGCCTTTCTTCCTTTTTTGCCTCAGTTCTTGTTTTACTGTATGAATTGGATTACATAAGATACAGGGGATTCAGCTTTTGGTGAATCTCAGGTGCTTTTYTACCCTACATATTCCATTCTGGAGGTTACTTAATTATAACTTTCTGTTTCGGTTGCTTTCTATATGTAGAATCGTAGATTTGTTAAGGTTGGAAGGGACCTTTAGAGRTCATCTAGTCGAACCCCCCTGCATACACAGGATCACCTAGAACACGTTACAGTTCTCAAAGTTATTAGATATGTGATATTAAACAGCTATAACAATATCACTTTTTTTGTTTGACTTTTTAAAAAGRTAATATTTTCTCCTGAGTTTTACACACACACACACAGACCCCAACCATGAATGTGTTTAGGCCCCACAAGCTGTACGTGTTTACAATCAGTCCTGTCTTTTCGTAGGTGTCATAGTTTCTACAGTAAACGATACTCCCGTGCCTTATATTTAGGAGCCAAAGCTATTCAACTTAATAGTAATAGTGTTCAA